AGCAGGTTCTTGGTCTTATCCCTTCTCCTGGTCCTCCTCCCTTAGAGAGTCCACGACCTGTCCTGTCACAGTCACAGCTACAGCCTGCCTCCCCTTTACCTGCTCCTTCTCCATACGCTGGTCCTACTGGAGGTCTTACTGAGCGTCGTGAGCCTGCGTCTCGTCCTGTGTCGCCTGTTCGTGCTGCGCGCGCTAGTGGTCGCGGTTCGCGTCAGCGTCCTCCTCCTGTCCCTGGCACGCACCGGATGTCTCTGCGTCCATCCACTGCTCCTCTGCGTGCCCCTTTGCCTTCTCCTCCTGCGTCCTCTCTTCCTGCTCTTGCCGACCCGGAGTCGGACTCTCTTCGTGCTGCCAGTCCTACTGTCACGCGTCTCCTTGCTACTGCCGTCACTGACCCTTCTTTTGAGTCTACTGCTGCATCTGCCCTTGTTACTGAGCTCGTCGACTTTGCTGCTCGCTGTCGTTTAGACTACGCTGCTAGTCTTGTCGCTGAGTCTGAGTCTGCCTGTCCTCCGTCCGTCGGGGGTGCGTGTGCCCTTGGCACGGACGTCCTTGAGGACAGGCAGGAGGAGTTCCAGTGCCTAGCCGCCGCCTCACCTCATCTCGTGTCCGTACTGCTCACCCCTGAGGGAGACCCGGATGCACTTGACATCCCGACTCCGCGCTCTTACGCGGAGGCGATAGAGGGTCCCTACTCCTCTCAGTGGCAGGCACCTATGGATGCAGAGATGGCTTCCTGGAAGTCCACAGGCACCTACGTTGACGCTGTCCCCCCTCCTGGGGCGAACATCGTCAGTGGCATGTGGATCTTCAGGGTGAAGCGGCCGCCGGGTTCTCCGCCTGTCTTCAAGGCGCCTTACGTGGCTCGTGGTTTCAGTCAGCGGCAGGGAGTTGACTACTTTCAGACCTTCTCCCCTACCCTGAAGATGACCACTCTTTGGGTACTGCTGCACGTTGCTGCTCACCGTGACTACGAGCTGCACTCTCTCAACTTCAGCACTGCTTTCTTGCAGGGCAGCCTGCACGAGGAGATCTGGCTGCGCCGCCCACCTGGCTTCACTGGGTCTTTCCCTCCTGGTACCCAGTGGAGCCTCCGGTGTCCAGTCTACGGTCTCCGCCAGGCGCCGCGTGAGTGGCACGACACACTGAGGACTACACTGGCGGCACTTGGGTTTGCTCCTTCTACTGCAGACCCGTCGCTGTTTCTGCGCACCGACCCTTCTCTGCCGCCGTTCTACATCCTCGTGTACGTCGACGACTTGGTCTTTGCCACAGCTGACACTGCTGGACTCGCCTACGTGAAGTCCGAGCTGCAGAAGAGACACACGTGCACTGACCTGGGTGAACTGCGCAGCTACCTTGGCTTGCAGATCACCCGGGACAGAGCACAGCGCACCATTACCCTGACTCAGTCACACATGGTGCAGCAGGTCCTTCAGCGCTTTGGCTTAACGTACTCCTCGCCTCAGGCCACTCCTCTTCCTACTCGCCACTCGCTCTCAGCTCTGCCTTTGGATGAGTCCGTGGAGTCGAATGGCCCGTACCCAGAGCTTGTTGGCTGCCTCATGTACCTGATGATCTGCACACGACCTGACCTTGCATACCCTCTTAGCATTCTCGCACGCTATGTTGCTCCTGGGAGACACAGACCGGAGCACATGGCTGCAGCGAAGAGGGTGTTGCGCTACTTGTGCAGTACGTCGGGCATGGGGCTAGTGCTTGGAGGGCGCAGTCCAGTGGTCCTCACTGGGCACGCAGACGCTTCTTGGGCTGACGACCAGGCTACGCAGCGGTCATCACAGGGTTACACCTTCAGTCTTGGTTCCGGCTCTGTTTCGTGGCGGGCTACCCGTTCGTCTTCTGTTCTCGGCTCCAGTTGTGAGGCTGAGATCTATGCCGGGGCTATGGCTGCCCAGGAGCTTCGCTGGCTTACCTACCTGCTTACCGACCTTGGAGAGCCGCCTCGTTCTCCTCCAGTCCTGTACGTTGATAACAAGGCCATACTGGCCTTGTGTCGAGAGCAGCGACTGGAGCACACGACAAAGCACATTGCTCTCCGCTACTTTCTTGCTCATGAGCTACAGCAGCGTGGACAGTTGCGGCTTGCGTACGTGGCCTCTGAGGCCAACACTGCTGATGTCTTCACCAAGGCACTTGCGCCTTGTGATCATCAGCGCTTCTGCACTCAGCTGGGTCTTGTGCCTGTCTTGCCTCACTTGCTCTCTTCTTGACCTTGCTTGTACTGTCACATATATATACTCTTGTTCTTGCTTGCTTAGCCTCTTGTCTATATATATGTGATCTTGCATGTGAACTGGTCTTTTGGGCCTTTGAACTTGTGCTCGGAATGTGTGGTGACTTTGTGATCCACCCTGAGCTTTGCTTTGCTTTGCTTTGCTTGACTGGTCTTGTGACCCCTTGTTCTCCCCCACTTTGCCTATGGGGGTGTGTCAGAACATTATAGCTTATATATATTTGTGTAGGCTATAGTGGGGTATCCCATAGGGGGTACAACCCAATCTGGGTTTCCTATATGTACTCACTTCATTCATAGTTGATTCATTCTCGTTCTATTCTTCTCATGTCGAACCATGTACAACAATGAAGGCCAGTGCGTCTGGGGACCAAACGGGTGTACCACACTAGACCCGGCAGCATCGCGCTCCTCGCCGGCTCTAAACCCGCCTCGCAACCTGTTGAAGCCGCAAGAAGCTGGGCAATCGCGCTGGAGCTTCGCGGTCGTCAACGTGTTCTTATAGTGAGTGTTCCGCTAGGGATCGTTCCTCCCGGGTATTCTTGCTAACTATTGTTTGTAGAGCAAGTCATCCGATGCCGCCACCGTCAATGGGCACACGCAACAGAGTTGACTAATTACTCAACCCAGCGTCCTTTCTGAGTCATCTAAAGCACAGTAGCATCGAAAGTAAGCACCCAACTAGGCAGGCGAAAACGGTTATGCTACGGATGTCACGAGGACCCTGCCCCTCCCTGCCCCTCCTTGTGTCGCAGTCGTTCCTGCATTGCACAGCACACCACCTCCAGCTACCCTCTTCCACACACATGCCTTCATTACCCCCCTCGCTCTCCTCGCACTCTCCCTCCTGCATCCGCCATCCTCATCCCTATCCCCCGTCCGCCTTCCCCCGACCGCCTTCCCCTGACCGCCTTCCCTCGTCTGCCTTTCCCCATCCACATCCCCCCATCCGCATCCCCCCATCCGCATCCCCCCATCCGCATCCCCCCATCCCCAATCCTCCCATTCTCTCGTGGTGACAGTCAGGCACGGGGCCAACCGCAGCAAGCAGCAGTGCAGCAAGGTGGAGGTGGTGCCATGGAGGCAAGGCCAGGGGAAGTTGGGGCGGAGGAGGGCAGGCAAACATAACCCTTCCGTCCCACTCTCCCCCGCCCTCCCCCATACCTCCTCCGTGTCTCGTAAACCTCCCTTATTTCCCCTCCCCGCTCACCCATCCCTGTTCTCCACTCTTTTGTTCCCCTCCAGTGACGGCCGTGCCAAGCGCCGTCCCTCGGTGCCCCACCCCCCCACCCCATACCTCCAAATCCCGTCACCCTCCCCGGTACGCTCCTTTATTCCCCCTCCCCGCTCCCTTTTCTCGCTGTGACGATCGTGCCAGGCGCAGGCCCTCGTGTAACGACCTGCAGTGCTGCAAGGTGCAGGTGGTGCCGTGGAAGGGAGGTGAGGGGAAAGTGATGCGGTGGGAAGGAGGTGAGGGGCGCGTGTGTCAACGGGAGTAGTGTTTGGCCCCATCCTCGCTTGGCCGGAGCCGACCGTGAAACCGCGGGAGACGCGGGACCGCGGGAGGGCCGCGGGACTGCGGGAGAACCGCGGAACCGCGAGAGAACAGCGGAACCGCGGGAGAACCGCAGGAGAACCGCGGGACCGCGGGAGAACCGCGGGAGACGCGGGACCGCGGGAGGGCCGCGGGAGAACCGCGGGGCCGCGGAAGAACCGCGGGATTGTGGGAGAACCGCGGGACCGCGGAAGGGCCGCGGGACCGCGGAAGAACCGCGGGGCCGCGGGAAGGTCGTGGGAGGCCGCGGGAGACCACAGGGCCGCGGGAGGCCGTGGGGCAACCACAGGACCGCGGGGACCGCGGATGGACGACCGGGGGCCACGGGGGCCGCGGGATACCCGGTCAACCAGGATACCCGGGCGACATGGGCGAAAGTCGCCGGGGGTGTTCTCTGCGAGGACGACCTCGGGGGTGGTATCCCGAGGTCGACGTGGCTGGTGGGCGCCGTCACAGGTGGAGTGTCTGCGCTGGGCATGTGACGGGGAGTTGGGCGCCAACCAGCTGCACGCACCTGCGAAGCAGGTGCACCGGTGTCCCGCGGATGCAACGCTGTGCAGCCGACTTACTACAGCGTTGGCACACCGCGGACTGGCAACGTTGGCAAGCCGCGACTCAGCTCTGCTGGAGCGCGCTCGGCCAAGTCGTGCTGGCACGCGGTCGACCGTGCTGCGCTGGCAGTTGACCAGCAGCCTTGCTAGGTCTGATGTAGTCTGTGTTGCCAATGTTGATTGAATTATTCTGAACTTTTGTTGTCATGTTTTCCTAGTGGAACTCTTGCCAATTTTCCCCATGAACTAGCAAGCAGTGTTAGCACTTGGAAACGACTAAGGAACGAACTAACGCTACGATCACTCTTGCCCCATGCCTAACCCGTAGTCTAGCTCCCGTTGCACTAGTTATCTCCGCAGCGTGGCATGTGCTTCAACAGTGGGAGAGGGCAGAACAGACGAGAGGGCTGAAGGGGGTGACGGTGGAGAGGGGGGGCTGGGAAGCAGCGGATAGGTGGAAGGCAAAGCGCGTGAGGATGAAGAGGTGGAAGGTGCGGAGCTAGCAGGTGCCTTGGCTGCTCTTGGCTTGCCCAGCAGTGGAAGGGACGGAGTCTTGCAATCAGCTCAGGAGATTAAGGTGAGTCCTGGGAAGGTAAGGTGAAAGTGGAATCAGCAGTGGTGGAAGTTGAAGGGCGCAAGGATGAGGAGCTGGCAGGCGGCACCCTGGGTGGCTGCTCTTGGCCTGCTCGTGCAATTCCGCACAATTCAGGTGGACCAGACCATGCAGACAGCACGAGACGCTTTGGTGAGTGAGTGCGCATGAACTTCATGTGATTGATCACCCACTTCCTGCTGCTCTCCCCGTAGTGCCCTTTGCATTGATCCTGATACCACGAGATCCACTCTAAAGCATTTTCTTTGCATTTTCAACCCTTTCCAAAAAAATGTTGTAGAGTGGATCTAGTGTCGGCTGTCTCTGGTCTGCACGGTCCGGGCCACTCCACTGACTGGCGGCCCCTCCCCACCACTGCATGGAGACGAACAGGGCAGCGGGTCTGCACATGGAGGTTACTACAATGTTTGTTTATGTCTCAGATTGATCCTCTTCTCACGCCTTTTCTTTTGTTTGTGTGTGTGTGTGTGTGTTCCTTTGAAGCAACAGCAGCAGGGAAGTGGCGGCGCTAGTGGCGATGGTGGTTCTGGTGGGGCTCGTGGAGGAAAGAAGAAGAGGTGGGGGAGGAGGAGGGGGGATGGACTGGGAGCAGCAGAGGGCGATATAGGTGCAGGGGTAGAGGTTGGTACAGAGGGCATGGCGGGGGTGGGTGCAGCGATAGTAGTGGAAGGTGGTGCAAATGCAGCAAGGCATGTTGCTGCTGGTGATGCATGCATTAGTGCTCTCAGTCTCACAGGGACAGCGGCCGAGGGTATGGCAGGAATGGTAGTGGAGGGGTGCGGTGTAGAGGCAGTGGAGGGTGGCATGGGGACAGCAGCACAGGTTGCTGCAGAGGCATACGTAGGTGCTTCTAGAGGAAGAGTGTTAGAGGGTGGTGCAGAGAAGACGAGGGGAGAGAAGGTGGGGGGGGAGCAGGTGGAAGGGTAGGCACTGGAAGGGCAGGTACAGGGGGTGTCATTCGTGGTGGCGGAGGAGGGTGCATGGCAGGCGGTGTGGGAGCCTCTCTCCCACGGCATGTACTTCTGCTGTGCTGCCGCCGCCATCACCCAGTGGCACCCACCAGACCACAACGAGGGGAGTGGGCTCGCGTGGTGGGTGGGATGGACGCCCGAATAGGCTGTAACTCACCAGGAAGTATCTGTAGAGGGTGTTTCTATAGCGAAGCAGGTCTTATTTGAGAAGGACCTAGCAGAGGAGGCTATAGAAAAGGAGGCTGTAGCAAAGGAGGCTGTAGCAAACGAGGCTGTAGCAAATAAGGCTGTAGCAAACGAGGCTGTAGCAAAGGAGGCTGTAGCAAAGGAGGCTGTAGCAAAGGAGGCTGTAGCAAAGGAGGCTATAACAAAGGAGGCTGTAGCAAAGGAGGCTGTAGCAAAGGAGGCTGTAGCAAAGGGGCTGTAGCAAACGAGGCTGTAGCAGCGGGGTATGAGAAGTACTGGCAGCAGCGGTACGGTCTGTTTCCACGGTTTGATGAGGGCGTCCGATTGGATGCTGACGCGTGGCCCCTTGTCACTCCTGAGGCCATCGCCGCCCACCACGCTGCCATGTGCACTGCTGCCATGGATTATGATGATGATGCCACGTGTGCAGGGGGTGATGCTGCCACGTCAGCAAGAAACGCTGATGATACCACTTGTGCAATTAATGGGGCCGCCAATTGTGCAGAAGATGGTGTTGCCATGTGTGATGGCCACACTGTACCACCAGTTTCAGAAGGAGGGGTTCTAGAACAGCGAGGAGTTCTAGTAAAGACGGGGGAGGAGGAGGGGAAGGTTAGAGGGGAGGGAGAGGTGGCGAGAGAAGGTGAGGTGATGGGCAGGCAAGGAGGGGGAGAGGAATCTAGATTTGGTTTACTGGACGAAGGGAGGTGTGGAGATGAAACACGCAATGAGTGTTTTGAGCATGCCGCAAGCAGTGGGAGTGCAGCAGGCATGGAGGGTGCAGCAAGCAGGGGGAGTGCAGCAGGCATGGAGGGTGCAGCAGGCAGGAGGAGTGCACCAGGCATGGAGGGTGCATCAGGCGTGAGGGGGGGAGCAGGCATGGGGAGAGGGGCAGGCGTGGTGGTGGATGCCTTCTGTGGGGTGGGCGGCACCACCATCCACCTGGCCAAGCGGTGAGTCTGATGCTAAGGGCTGCAGGGGGCTTCTAGGTCTAGTTGATCTCACTGCCTGATGGTCTATGGTTATTGCGGAGATAACTGCAGCAACGGGAGCTAGGCTACAGGCTAGGCACGTGTGCTCGTGTGATCTCTGCGTTCGTTAGTCCTTAGTCGTTTTCCTTGTGCACACACTACTTGCTAGTTCACGGGGAAAATTGGCAAGAGTTTCACTAGGAAAAGTTCAGAACAATGATGGTAACAACATTGGCAACATTGACTACATCAGAGCTAGCTAGGCTGCTGGTCGACCTCCAGCGCAGCACGGTCGACCGCACTCCAGCGCAGCAGCGCTCGAACCGCTCCAGCGTAGCAGGGTAGTGGTTCGCCAACGTTGCAAGTCCACGGTGTGCCAGCGCTGCACCAAGTCGGCTGCCCAGCGTTGCACCCGCAGGACAACGGTGCACCTGCTTCGCAGATGCGCGCAGCTGGTTGGTGTGCACTTCCCTGTCACGTGCACAACGCAGACGCCTGGCAGATCCCATGCCAGCGACTGTGCCCACCAGCCACGTCGACCTCGGGATACCACCCCCGAGGTCGGCCTCGCAGTCTCCACCCTGGCGACACTCGCGCACGTCGCCCGGGTATCCCGATCGACCGGGCAACCACGCCTGGTCGACTCGCGCAGTCCGTAGCCGGTCACGTATGCCCGGCGTCCCCAATCCGGTGCCAAGACGCGCCCAGAACGCCTTCCGAACCCCTAGGTCGGCGTCCAGACGCCCAGGACGCCGACCAACCCTCCAGAGCGGCGTCCCTCCTCCCAGGACGCCGACCAGACACCCAGGTCGGCGTCAGGACCCGACGCCCAGGTCGGCGTCTGGATCCCCGGACGCCGTGCAGACGCCCACGACGTCGACCAGGCGTCCAGGTGGTCATGGCGACGCCCAGCTCGGCGCCCCACCTCCCAGGACGCCGTCCAGGCGTCCGGGACGGTGACCTCCTGCTCGGCGCCCTTGTAGTGGCCCCCCGTGCAAGTCGACCTCCTCGTCGACCGGCTCACCCACTGCAGGTCGGCTGCTCCCCTCACACCCGACCACGAAGTCGGCTCCGCCCAAGCGAGGACGGGGCCAATACCCAACTCCCGTTGACAGTTATGTGGTCACCCAGTTACCTTCTCCCCTCCGCCTTCTGTGGGGTGGGCGGCAACACCATCCACCTGGCCAAGCTGTGAGTCTTGCCAACTGCTGGGAGACCTTTCAGGGCTTGCTGGGTGGGTTGACACCCCAACGGGGGATGGATTTTGTAAGAGGCGGGTGGGCAAGGCGATGTAGCTCGTAGATTTCTGTGTGTTCGGCTTTGTAGCAGGTAGCTTCAGTGGCTCATATTGTAGCTTCACTGCTACTCCTGCTTCATTGTGTGGTGACCGTGACTCCACTAAACAACTTGTACGGTTCGTGTGTACCGTCTCTTGAGAGGTCTCAATAACCGTCCCCCCTACTTGCATGTATCCATGCCACAACCATAGCATTCACTTCGAGATTGTTTGCTTCCTCATCACTCCCTGTCTCACTTCCCATTCCCCTTCCCTACCTCCACATTCATTCTCCTAGCTGGCCCCTCGTGCTGGCCATAGACACAAGCCTGCCTCGCTTGGCCATGCTGCAACACAACCTCTCTCTTTGGTTCGGCCCCTATGCCTCCTCAAACCCGCATGTCCATAAGCTCATCTGTCTACTCCTCACCCCCACCTGCCAAACCCCCAACCCCAACCCCTTCCAGCTGCCCCCACGTGCTGGCCATGCCGTAGACATGAGCCTGCCTCGCCTCGCCATGCTGCACCACCATCTCGCCCTCCACTCCCCTGTGCCTCCACATGTCCACCTGGCCTAAATCTCTCTTCTCCTCAACCCCAACCTTGAATCCCTCGGCCCCTCTCAGCTGGCCCCACGTGCTGGCCATTGGCACAAGCCTGCATCGCCTGCCCGCCCATGCTGCACCACAACCTTGCTCCTCACTCCCCACCTGCCAACCCACTCCCGCACCTCTCAGCTGCCCCCACGTGCTGGCCATTGGCACAAGCCTGCCCCGCCTGCCCATGCTGCACCACAACCTGACGCTTTATGGCGCTTGTGCTCACGCTCCATCTCTCTAGCCCCCACGCCTTTGCAGGTTACGAGAACACTTCCAAGCAGTTAGAATTCTCTCCACATAAAATCTGCGTGAACTGAGACGACTTTTGAGGTGCCTCAAAAGTCGTTTCGCTTTATGGCGCGTGTGATCACGCTCCATCTCTCTGGCCCCCACCCCCCAAACCCCAACCCCAACCCCTTCCCAGCTTCCCCCACGTGCTGGCTGTTGATATGAGTGTGCCTCGCCTGCCCATGCTGCAACACAACCTCGCCCTCTACGGCCCCTGCACCTCCACAGCTCCCTAAGCTCATCTCTCTGCTCCTCACCCCCACTGCCCAACCCCAACCCCTCCCAGCTGCCCCCATATTCTTGCCATAGATATGAGCGTCCGTCGCCTGGCCATGCTGCAGCACAATCTCAGCGTCTACGGCCCCCACCTGCCCTACCGAGTGGATGCACTTTGTGCTTGTGAGGATCGAGGATCGAGCTCAGAAAAGAGAATGTGAATTGAATCGAATTGAATAATCACCTTGGTACAAAACGAGGCTATATATAGGCTAGACACAAGGCCCCGTAACCAGGTGTTACGCAAAGGTTCCGCGGGTCGCGAAGCGTCCCGAACAGATCCTTTTCGAATTCAGTAGAAGGCAATTCGGTGGCAACCGAAAAGCCAGAATTCGGTGCACGCAACCTAGCTCGGTGCTATAACTATAATAAAATATAGGAAAGAACCTAGCCTAGGAAATCAAGCAATTCATGAATGCATATAATTTTCCTATGCTAGAAATAGCATAATAAAGTAATGGCAAGCAAGCATAGCTGGCATAAGCCGTCGTACTCTCACACGTCCCCCCCTCAAAGCTGGGCGGCGTGAGATACACCCTGCTTGACAAGATAGTCCTTGAGAGCACGGCGTGCGTTGCCCATATCAGCTTCTGCAACCCAACTGTCCTCAGTGGGGTCGTACCCCTTCCAGCGTATCAGGAACTCGAGGGTCCTGCCGCCGCGGCGCCGATGAGAGAGGACGCGCTCAATCTCGTACTCGGTTTCGTTCTGCACAAGAACAGGTGGAGGCGGCGGTAGCTGCCGTCCCTGGAACTGTTGGTTGGGGTCCTTGTAGGGTTTCAGTAGCTGCACATGGAAAGCATTGTGAAGCTTCCATGTATCTGGTAAGCGCAAGCGGAATGTAACTGGTGTCACCTGTGCCTCAACGAGAAAAGGACCACAGAAGCGAGGCCGGAGTTTGGATGGGAGGTGAGACAGGTCCAAGTTGCGCGTGTCAAGAAGCACCTGATCTCCGACTGCTACTGAGTGATCACGTCGCTGACGATCGGCATACTGCTTCTGGGAGGTCTGCATCGTGGTGAGTCGTCGCTGGGTCTTCTCCCATAGTTGCTGCATGGTGGTGACGAAGTCATGTGCGGCTTGGACTTGTGCCGGTGTGGTAGGCTGCTATGGTGTGAGTGATTCCCGTCCGTAACACAGGAAGAAAGGAGTTTTCCCTGTGGCCACATGTGACGCGTTGTTTTAAGCGAATTCTAGGGTCGGTAACTGTGTGTCCCAGTGGCTGACGTCGTCCTTGCAAGCTGTGCGCAGTAACTGTTCAACCACTTGATTGAGTCGCTCTGTCTGTCCGTCAGTCTTTGGGTGGTATGCTGAGGACATCGCAAGTTTAGTCCCCAATAATCCCATGAGCTCCTTCCAAAACTTACTGGTGAATTTTGGGTCTCTATTTGAGATGAGTGTAGCGGGGATGCCGTGGATGGTGATGATGCGGTCGAAGAAGAGGCGAGCAGTTGCTTCTGCTATGGCGGTGGCGTTGGTCGGTAGGAAGTGCCCCATTTTGGAGAACTTATCGATCACTACGAGGATGGAATCATATCCCCGTGAGGTCGAGGGAAGTCCTATGATGAAGTCGAGACTAACGACCTGCCATGGCTGCTCCGGTACGGGTAGAGGCTGAAGTAACCCTACTTTCTTCTAATTGCTGCTCTTCATCCGCTGGCACGTGTCGCAGGAGGTGACGAACTGCTGTACATCTGCTGCCATCCGGGGCCAGTAGTAATACTTCGCTATTCCCGCTAACATCTTGTTGCTCCCAAAATGTCCCGCGTATGGTGCGTTGTGGAACTCCTCCAATAGGATCTGCCGTAGCGGGGCGTAATTCGGTACCCAAATCTTTCAAGGTGTTCGAGATCCTGCGGAAAAACAAGTTCTACGTGAAGCTGTCGAAGAGCGACTTCGCCCTGAAGAAGGTGAAGTTTCTCGGGCACATGGTGAGTGCCGAGGGCGTACACGTGGACCCGCGGAAGATCGAAGCCGTCAAGAAGTGGAAAGTTCTGGAGAACGTGAAGGAGTTGCAGCAGTTCCTAGGATTCGCTAACTATTACAACAGGTTCGTGCCACAAGTCGCTAAGATTGCAGCGCCACTGACCGACCTACTGAAAAAGGATACGCCCTTCAAATAGGATACTCCGCATCAGCAAGCCATGGAACAGCTACAGACATCACTGACCACAGCCCCAGTACTCATCATACCAGACCCCGAGAAGGACTACATAGTTGAAGCAGACGCTAGTAACCAGGCAGTCGGAGCAGTACTGATGCATGATCACGGGAACGGTTTACATCCTATCGTCTACCTCAGTAAGAAACTTCACGGAGCAGAACTAAACTACCCCACCCACGACAAGGAAGCCCTAGCTATAGTCGTAGCCTTCAAGGCGTGGAGGTGTTACCTCGAGGGAGCCAAGACCACAGTCTATACTGACCACTACAGCCTCAAATACCTGAAGTCGCAGCCTACTCTCTCACGACGTCAGGTACGGTGGGTGGATTTCTTGGAGACCCACTTCCACTACGACATCATCTACAAGCCCGGGCTACACAACAAAGCAGACGCGTTGAGCCGCCCAGGTCATGTAGCAGGCATCCAACTCGACGGGATGAACCCTCTGCTTAAAGGTCTATTCCAACATGGGTACTCCGTGGACGGCGAGATAGAAACGGCAGAGAAACAGAAACTGTTACAGTGGGAGAAAGACCTAGCGGTACCGCAGATGCTCCACATGCTCCTTCATGTTTTTGGAGTAGATGAGGATATCGTCCAGGTACACCACTACGCACTCGTCCAGCAGGGGCCGTAGAAAATGGATCATTTCTGCCTGGAACGTTGCTGGTGCGTTGCAGAGTCCAAACGGCATCACCAAGTATTTGTAGGAGCCGTATCGAGTACGGAACGCCGTCTTGTGGATCGAGTTGTCCGCCATCTTGATCTGCCAGTAACTGAGAAAATGAACGAGAATGAATTGACTAAGGCAAAGTTGGGTACAAGTACAAACCCTAGAAAACTGTACCCCATATGTGCTACCCCACTATAGCCTACAGCAGCTATGTCATATAAATCCGACACACCCTCATAGGCAAAGTGGGGGAGAACAAGGGGTCACAAGACCAGTCAAGCAAAGCAAAGCAAGCTCAGGGTGGATCACAAAGTCACCACACATTCCGAGCACAAGTTCAAGGCCAGAAGGCCAGTTCACATGCAGAATTACATATATATATAAGGATAGACAAGCAAGAGCAGGTGTATATATATATATGTAACAGTAAACAAGGTCAAGGGGTGAGCAAGTGAGGCAAGGCAGGCACAAGACCCAGCTGAGTACAGAAGCGCTGATGATCACAAGGCGCAAGTGCCTTGGTGAAGATATCAGAAGTGTTGGCCTTAGAGGCCACGTACGCAAGGCGCAGCTGACCACGCTGCTGTAGCTCACGAGCAAGGAAGTAGCGAAGAGCAATGTGCTTCGTTCTGTGCTCCAGTCTCTGCTCCCGACACAAGGCCAGCATGGCCTTGTTGTCTACGTACAACACTGGAGGAGAACGAGGCGCCTCTCCAAGGTCAGTCAGCAGGTAGGTGAGCCAGCGTAGCTCCTGTGCAGCCATGGCCCCCGCGTAGATCTCAGCCTCACAGCTCGAGCTAAGAACAGAAGACGAGCGGGTAGACCGCCAGGAAACAGAACCGGAACCAAGGCTGAAGGTGTAACCCTGTGACGACCGCTGCGTAGCCTGGTCGTCAACCCACGAAGTGTCTGCGTGTCCAGTGAGGACCACTGGACTACGCCCTCCAAGCACGAGCCTCATGCCCGACGTACTACACAAGTAGCGCAACACCCTCTTCGCTGTAGCCATGTGCTCAGGTCTGTGTCTCCCTGGAGCAACATAGCGTGCGAGAATGCTAAGAGGGTATGCAAGGTCAGGTCGTGTGCAGGTCATCAGGTACATGAGGCAGCCAACAAGCTCTAGGTACGGGCCACTCATCCGAAGGCAGAGCTGAGAGCAAGTGGCGAGTAGAGAGAGGAGTGGCCTGAGGCGAGGAGTACGTGAAGCCGAAGCGCTGAAGGACCTGCTGCACCATGTGTGACTGAGTCAGGGTAATGGTGCGGCGTGCTCTGTCCCGGGTGATCTGCAAGCCAAGGTAGCTGCGCAGTTCACCCATGTCGGTGCACGTGTGTCTCTTCTGCAGCTCGGACTTCACGTGGGCGAGTCCAGTAGTGTCAGCTGTGGCAAAGACCAAGTCGTCGACGTACACGAGGATGTAGAACGGCGGCAAAGAAGTGTCGGTGCGCAGAAACAGCGACGGTTCGGAAGTAGAGGGAGCAAACCCAAGAGCCGCAAGTGTAGTCCTCAGTGTGTCGTGCCACTCACGCGGTGCCTGGCGGAGACCGTAGACTGGCCGCCGGAGGCTCCACTGGGTGCCAGGAGGATATGACCCAGTGAAGCCAGGTGGGCGACGCAGCCAGATCTCCTCGTGCAGGCTGCCCTGCAAGAAAGCAGTGCTGAAGTCAAGAGAGTGCAGCTCGTAGTCACGGTGAGCAGCTATGTGCAGTAGTACCCGAAGAGTGGTCATCTTCGGGGTGGGAGAGAAGGTCTGAAAGTGGTCAACTCCCTGCCGCTGACTGAAGCCACGAGCCACGTAACGCGCCTTGAAGACAGGCGGAGAACCCGGCGGTCGCTTCACCC